AATAAATGTAAATTAACATATATAATGATTTCATTGGACCCAGATAGCAAGCACCTCCCCGGAAGATCAAACAACGGAAGTAAAACTTTTGGTAATCCAGCATCAAGAAAAAACTCCATGCTCACACACCTTCATTACGACAACAACAACAACATCCCTTCCATTATTTCCACTACCGCCACTCCATTTTCACTCCCTCCAAACCCTAACAATTACCAAACTGCCACCCCATTTCTAGGGTTTGAGCCTTTTGATCAGGTGGTGATGATGATGAATAATAATTACAGTAACAGCAGCACTGTGTTATTATCTCATGATGATCTGCAGTATCCATGGCCGCATCCGCCGCCGCCTAATTTCATCATCAAAGAAGATGATGCAGAAACCAGCTTGTTCATGCCACCGCCGCCGCCTCCGCCTGGTGGCTATGAAGATGAAAAATATAGTAATTTTCTGATCATGAACTCAAAGACTGAAGAAATTCAAGACTGCGATGATGATGATGATCAAGATTCTGCGGCGGCGGCTGTGGATGCTTTCATGATACCGGAATTCGGAGAGATGGCGAAGGCGGTTGAATTCGGAGGTGAGCCGCCCTCTTCTTCTACGGCCGCCATTAAAGGTGGTGGGACGACCACCGAGCTTCTTCATCCCAATCATATTAAGAACATTGCTTCTCTCATGGAATCTTTTGCTTCGTCGTCATCATCATCGGTGGTGCCGCCGTCTGCCGCCTCGGGTGGCGGCGGCGGATCACTCCTGCCGCCGCTTCCATGCAGTGGCCCTTTTCTCTTGTGAAGCCAGTTCTAATTGCTTCTGCTTGCAGCTTTCTTATTATGTACTGTGTGTGTGTGTGTGTTAATTAAGGATTATGTTTTATTTGTTTTTTAGTTTTTTTGTTTTAAGGTTTTCTGTATGATGGCAATGCAGTATCTTATGTTATGCATGTGGAGAAAACCTGAAATTTTCTATAATTGTATTTTTCAGCACATCTTTCATGAATAATGAATGTTATCTCTCTCTCTCTCTCTCTCTCTCTCTCGATCTGGGAAATTCTATGCTACGTACACTAACCGTAGATCTACACATAATCACACACACCAATCTACGGTACGGTTAACAATTATTCAGTGTAACATTTTAATAAATTTGTAACTTATTTATAAAAAAATATCTTAGATATCATGTTGAGGGCTTTGTTCATCTCCCAAACTTAGAATGATTAATTAATCTGTCAGCATTTTTCAATGTGATCAAACTTCACATATTTGAGCATACCTCTTTTTGAAAATATGAGGTGGTTCGGTATTTTCTTGAGTTCAGTGTCGTTATTATATTGAAATTTTGTGCATAAGGGGCTCTAATGCTACGAAAGATCTCGAATTTGTTGCAATATCCAAAGCCTGATTATATCTGTTGAAAATATTGTTTCGTGTACCTATGAAGGAATTAAATCAAGTAGGTTTGCTCAATTGCAAGAGTTTAAAATGAAGGTGAATGTTTTTCATAATCAAGCATCGGTGTTTCTCGATAATGACTGAACTTGGTGTATTCGATTTGTAGTCTTTTACTATTTTGTCTAAACGATGTGAAAATTGCTTCACACTCGAGATCGTGTTAGTCGAACTTGCATTTCAGCTTTAACTATTCGACAAAGAAATCGAGTTAATCTTTCATACTGTCACGGATAAACTACTTAGTGCCTTGCTGCAAGGCTCCTGATTTATTGGTACTATTGGAACTATGTTGAATTTGACACCATAAGGGTGAACGTGTAAGAAGATTCACAGTTGAGGGTGGTGGTTGTAATTACCTCAAACACGAGGGGTATTTTC